ACTGCAGATAAGACGTTATAAAAGTCAGCATGTGGGGTTGTTATGTGGGTCAGCTGTTGCTTCTGTAAATAATTTCTAAAAGCATTCAGAGTTTTATTCTAGAGAGACATCCAGAAGGTTTGCAGCGTTGATCACACACTCACATTAATGTGACACAATAAGGATTATAAAAAAGAGCATCTTAAATAAACAGTAAAAGTCATAATTAACTGGGGTGTTTTTATTTTATTTTTTTAAATCACTGGTGTTCTATGAAATGATTTAACAGCACAGTTAGAGTGATTATTTAACGCTTACACAGGCCTGTTATTTAAGTTTTATTGATAAGAAGCCAAATAAAGATGTGATCAGATCCGACCTTCCACAATAAATGCTCAAAAAAAAAAAACCTTTGGATGTTTGAACGTTTCACAAGCTTTTTAATTAGTAGACACATTATGATGAGCCATCGAAATGATAATTATCTTTCAAAATAAATACCTTGTGGGGCACGGTGAACTTGAAAAAGCAGTCGTGCTTTCCCTTGTCAGATTATCTTCATGGGGTTTTGCGTGACAGGCCAACACAAAGCAGGGCATATTTGTGCCGTGGAAGGAAAACGATTCATGGTTTTCCAAATTATCTACAAAAGAAAAACTGAAAACTGTGGTCTGCATTCAGCCTTTACTGAAAGGGGGCATATCGAGCAAAATCCACTTTTAACCCGTTTAATACATTTTGTTGTGTAACAAGAGTCTTTAGTAGAGCAGAAAAGTTGAGTTTAATCATTTCTCCTGGTGTTGCGTAGATATGTTTATATTCTGTTTGGATTGTATTTTTCAACCTGCTCAGTTTTCTCTATTCTCTATGACGTTTTCTGAACTATTCCAGTATTTGCGACAAAGCTTTCAAATCAGGTCTGGACTTACCAGCTACACTTTGGTCTTCTTTCTCCTCTGGTTCTGGGTCAGACTCTGGCTCCAACACGTAAGGCCGGATGAACAAGTCTTCTGTTTGTTGATATCTTTTAATTAAACTGTAAATTAAAAGTTTCTGCGCCGCTTGTCGTAAACTCCTCTGTTAAACTAGAATGGACTGCTCTGCAAGCTGAAGGGGGGCAGGTTGTGAAGTGCTATGAATCATTTGGATTTTAAAGAGACAGCCTCAAAACGAGCTGCTTTGAGACACACCTCAGAAAAGCTGTGAAAGAGTTTGTTACAATAAGTACCACTTTATATAGACTTCAAATGAATTATTTAAATGTGAAAAGKGGATTTAAAAACATGATTCGTCTCCTTGAAGTTTGTCATATGAGTACATTTTTAAGTAAATGTGATAAGGGTCTTGCTCAAGGGCCCACAGTGAGGTGAATGAGAGTGCTTCATCTTCCCCACCCAAATTCTTTGTTCCAGTCAGGGGATTTGAACCAGTGACCTTTCAATAACAGGCTCACCTTCTCCCACCACTCCCTTTAATTGGGTTATTAAGGTAATTAAATAAAGTACATACTTGAGGTATCATAATTTGACATTAAAATACCCTATATATGCCCCTTTATATGCTATTTGTTTGTGTGTGTGTGTGTGTGGGGTGGGGGGGGCATATGATGATGCTGTGATGATCCTCGGGGAGTCTGGACTTTTCTGTTGAACACTGAATAATCAGTCCACATGTTTTTATATCATTTCATAAAAGAGAAATGTCTCCTCCTCCTCTGTGCGGTTTGTGATGTCATCGTTCTGATACAGCTTCTTTGGTTGGCTTTTTTTTTTTTCTTTGAACATGTCGACAACAGACAATCATTTTAAGCCAAAAAGAGGGAAACCAAAATAAAGAAYMTACAAGGAAAAATAAAATGAAATTAAAATTACAAAGTGCGCAAGTATCACTACCCTTGTTTGTCAGCTTTATGATGTCTTAGGCACAACTTCACACATTAGTCCAATTGTACACCCAATTAGAAAAATACCCTAACTTTTTTATTTTCAAAATAAAACACAGTTTTGCATGGAAATAGTGTTTTGTCTTCATGTCAATCACAAAAAGACCAATTTTTACTTTTTTTAACCCTTTTTCCATTCTGAGGTGGTTCTGTTGACGTCTTTACATCCAGACCTTCAGTACGAGCCCGTGGTCAGGACTGAGTCTCTGCCTCAAGCCGAGGATGGAGACTGCATTACCCGATGAATCTGCTGCAGTACTTGGGGCGTTGCTCCAGGTTGTGTCGGTGAAGAAAACGTTGAGTCAGAAAGTACGAATTCTCGTATTTTCTGGTTTGTCTACATTCTAACTTTCACCAGTTGCTACGAGGAGTTCATCGTGGCTGAAACCCACTGGGAGATGAGACACAGGGGCAAACCCAGAACTCCCTGGGATTATGTATCCTCTCTGGCCTGGGAACACCCGGATCTTCCAGGAGGACCTGAAGAGTGTCACTGAGGAGAGCCTCCATGAACACAAGTGAGTGAAGGAAAAAGATTCACACTTACTGTAGAAAGTCATATTTCCAGTCTGGTCATCATCTTCTTAAATCGCTGGATCTGGCCAAAAGATTTCATCAGCATCGTAGATTATGCTTCTTTCCACAACAATGTGGGAAGAACCTCCTCAGGTGCTGAATCCACTCCTGCACATCCTGCACACAGACTGCTTCGGTGGCTCGGGTTAGGGTCCGGATATTCTCTAAGTGCCCCTCTCATATTCACTCTTCCTCCTTTTCATTCTGTTGAAAACAGATGAACTCACTTGCCATCTTTTTTCATGGTGTTTATACCCGATCAGTCATTGAAAAAGCTTTGAAATGGCAGGAAATGACATTGTGATTTTTATTTTCTGTAAAGTAGATAAATATGTTTAGCGTCTTGCAAACACAAGATAGTATATTGCTCTTTGAGGTTAAGGTTTTGCTGACAACCTATTTTTTAAAGCATACAAACTATTTCACCAGAAAGGCTGCAAAAATGCACTGAAATGATGCTTACTCTGAATTTGTCTTATTAATGTGCTTTATTTAGTTGACACAGAAATAAAGTTACTATCTGATTGTACATTCTCAGTTCATGTTCAATCATCAGATTTCTTATTTTCTCCATCTCAAATAAGCGTCTTGTTCAGTTTAATTGTTACTCGTCCATCAATCAGCCCATTTCCTTCCACCAAACGTTTCRTGTGTCATTCAAATGAGCTGATCCTCCGCTGCTCTTTAGAAAATGACATCACTAGAGATGTATCGGAGCTGTATTTACAGTATTTCCATGTGCGAAGGCTGCCATTTGATTATCGACATGAATCTGAGCTGACCTCTCAGGACAGGTTATGTGGGTGTGACAGGACCAGGATCACTGAGGCCTGCGGGCCACGGATTAGTCACCATGTCTGTCGCCTGCTATCATAGCTGGAGGCATCGGCTTAGTCAAATGTAGTGAAATGACATGTTAGGATTGTCAGTCTTTGCACACATACAGGATTTTTTACTGAAYGAAAATCRCAAGMCTTTTTCAGCGATGTAACTTTTCATTTGAGACTAAATAACTTCAGTTTTATGGATTTCACTGTGACATATGTTTCATGATTTCCAAAAGCAATACTTTATAAAACTTTATACCRCTKTTAAATGTTCACTTARCATAGTTATTTACATAAAACTCTCTGGTTAGCATCAACAACTAGCTTTAGCATTTCCATCGCAGCCTGCGACGCTTCCTGCAGGAAAATCCCAGTATCTCTGCTGGAATAAARGTATAATGCAAAACTAACATTCACATGAACCAAAGTGAAATTCTTAGGATTAGAGAATGAGTTAAAATTGGCAGCTCTTTACTTTGGTACTAGCGCGTCACTCGGACTATCTGTCAGCTCTGGTCGGATTTAAACTTTTTTCCCCAACTTGAGGCCTTTCAAAGAGCTATCTASAACAGGTAAGATATGGATTTGACATAACTTTTTGCAGAACTCCCCTTTTTAAGCACAATATATGATTGTTACACATTCTTTGTTGCAGCAGCAAATCAGCACTGATCAGTTTTTTAAAGTAAAATTAATATAATCCTCTGCAAAAATACAAATTTCAATTCTTAATCAGTAGTTAGTTATTTAAAAAAAGAATAATCGGTTAATGAGGTAGTTATTTGTGGATTAGGATGTCAATCCTGAGGTAAAACTCTCTGTATCACAATGACGCATCATCTAATCTCTAATCTCTTCTCACATGTGCTTCCGGTGACTCCTGCTAGTTTCATGTTAACTGTTTTTTAAGCCTATCAGCACACAACWATCCATGAAACCCATCTTTTGTTTTCCCGTCTTCCTCATAGCCAGACAATTTCACATTCAAATGCAAAGTGCAGACACACACTCTCACACACACACACACACAGGTGCATGTCATCCAGCAGATGACATTTATCTGTATTAGAGGGGAAGCTCCAGCACTGCAGGTATTCCTGGAATGTGCCACAGGTTCGAATGCCCCGGGGTCGTCTGCTGCTGCTGCTCCATGACAGGCGAGGCGTGGGGGGAGCTTCTGCTGTGACATCACTGAGGAGGAGAGGCATAAAAGTCAGACAGCTCAGGTACAACAACAACAAGCTGAGCAGCAGCAGATTCTGTAGAGGCTCTCATCCATCCAGACTGAAGCATGGCCACTCGCAGCTGCATTATTCTTCTTGTCACTATTTGGGCTTCAATTTATGATGGTAAGTCTATTCTTT